TTTGGGAACAAATTTAGGAAAAATTCTTGGAGTTGTACGCTGGGTGAAGGAGCAACCGGCAGACAATCATAAATTTTGTCAACAAACACATTCATTGTATGGAGCAGGGAATGGCACGCTAAAAGAAGCATTCCGGATGAAGAAACCGCACCTAGAGGTAGGATGCCACATTAGCATATATTTTTTACAAAAATAATTGAGGAGCCTTCCTTTAAAAATGCTCTCTTACAGAACACTGAGAAAGTGCCGTGGCCATGGTTTGTTGGGGGAAATGTTGGCCTGGAATGGGGAAATTACTACATTCTTTGGGTATCATAAACAGTCATTACTTTCAGCTGACAATCTCATTGTTGTAAATTAATTATATGTTGAATTTTTTGTATAGGTTTTTGATATCCCTGGAAAAGAGCTTCGAATTTATGACTCTGGAAGCTCTAGTTACACAATTGATGACATGGAAATGCTAAGGTACATTGTTTTTGGTTTTTTTTTGATGTGGGTTGATAGATGTATTCAACATATAAATACAATTTCTACATATACATGTGAAACTGTATTCTTTCAGAAACATATTCATCGACATGAATGACTGAATGGGTGGAAAGTGACGAATGCCCAGTCATGGAAACAAAATGACAGTGTCAATTGTGGTGTGTTTGCAGGGTATGTAATTTTGTGTATGTAAATTTGTTTCAGCATTACATAAATACTACTGCTATTTAACATGCTAAAATAAGAGGTCTCTTCACTGCATGTAATAAGGACATTGAGCCTCTTTTACTTACATGCAGTCTTATTTTTCCAGGCACCTAATTTGTCATGTAGAGAAAAGGTTGTTTTGCATATTGGTATTTTGCATGTATATAGGGTTTGCTGGTGCCTACATGTAACTTTTGTTTTAGAATTTTTAGTTATAATTGAGCTATCACACAAAAACCATAAGATTACAACACGCTGTTTCTTGAGGACTTACTTGTTATATTCTTGTTATATTTTACATTAGGGACTACTGTGGTAATCCTCTGTTGTAATTTTCAGTTTGGCAGTACCATAGGAATACCACACTCATACCACAGGACTTTTTGTAATGGACCACTCTTTGGTCTCAACTGAACTGTCTTAGGACACAACATCTCTATGTCTTAAGATAAAGTGATGTCTTAAGTCATGCCTCATCTTCAAGACACACAAAATAATCACTTCTTTGTCCTAAGATGTTAACTTTCATGTCTCAAGACAAAGACAGTGTCTTCACTCATATGTCTTAAGACGTTCTTGAGATGTCTTGACATAAGAAAATGTCTCGAAACAACTTGTCTAAAACTGTCAAGACATCTTAAGACACAGTTGACAGCTGGGTATGTATACTGTATTAAAATAACTATGTCAGAGTTTCTATCTGTGCAACAGATGGCTGAGTTGGATGTAAGGGCTGCCAAAATACCAGAAGAAACTCTTCATTATGGACAGATTTGCCATTTACGTTTGTACCATGCCTCGTGTGTGGTAAAGAATGTGGCTTCTGAGGTATGATTCAAAGATTCAAGGATTTATATTATCCATACAAATTTACTGAAAATACTTCTCACTCAAAAAAATACATTAATATGTTTGATGTCATGATAGGTATCATCTGACATTGTATGTACTGACAATTGAATGTTTGTTTCATAGGACTTCCCATCATGTCTAGAGAGAAAAGATGACCAAGGTGCTATAGCAGATAACAGTTGCATTGCCTGAGACATCTATGCTTGCGTTTTCCAGATAACAGGAAAAAAGTGAGCACAGTGTATATTTTAAAGATTTGTGTCAAACATGTAGTTCCTTGTATAGTCTAATATTGTTGCAAACCTATTTGTTTGTGTATCATTGTGTTTTTTAGAACCATGCATTCCCACATTAAAACAGTGCAGTGGATCCAGTGCGATTACTATGATGGATGGTTGCACAGTCACTGTGCAAGGATTGATGTATCCACACTGGGCAAAGATGCACCATTCAGCTGTGGATGCCATCTCCCAGTGCATTACTCTTATGAAAGGTAGAACCACCTATCTAGATTCCTCATATAATGAGAGATAATAAATAACTGACAGAAACAGTGTCAGACAATTTTTTTCTATTTGTAGTACACATGAAGCATTGCGGAAAGGCCTGGTTGCAGAATTGATAGAGGATGGGGAAATTCTGGTATGAGAAGTGAATGTGTTTTAATTATTAACATTTAAATTTCTAATGTTTAGCATTCTAACAGTTGCCTATCGTGATCTGTGCATTTCTAAAAATCTATTTCTATAGAAACTGAGAGATGACCTTCTATCTGGGACCATGAAGTCACATTGACTGTTCCTTCACAACAACCCTCAAAATAAAAGCTATGACTGAACATTGTTTCTGTGTTTTTGATGAAAAACAGGTAACGTAATTATATTATCCTTGGTGGGATAGACAAATATTCTTAAACGTAGTGCATGCTTTGAATATGTACATCGACTTTCAGGAAGAACTTTTTAAAAATGGCTAATCCAGTGCACTGCAGTGCACTTCATTCTGTGTAGCCGTACGCTTTACTTATGTCAGAATGTAACACTCTTTTGTCTGCAAATTGTAAGTAAAATGGATAGGCTGGAATGTTTTTTGTATTTGGGGCCTGTAAGGATCCTTACAAGTGTGTGCACTGACATATTTTTTCCCCTACAAAGTCACAGTTTTTATCTTAAAGAAGCAGGAGGGGTTCTACTGATACCAGACTGGAACCTTTCCAAGGACTTTGGTGAATAAAGTGAAAGCAAGAAGGTTAGGACAGGATATATGTGATTTTGTTGTTTATAACAATTTAAGTATTCAGCTACAGTGCTACTTTATCATGCAGCGCTGATTTATCCTTTTGTCCCTCTCTACCAATCTGTTCATGTTGCTAATAACAACATTGTATATATTGTACAGACTTTTAATATCCATAGAAAAAAGCTTTTGATTTATGGTTCTAGAACCACAACAAAGTTATAACATGGAAATGGTGAGATACACTGTTTATTCTACAATTCTATTCTACTTTGCAAACATGTAAATGCGTTAATAAAATTATTTGAATACTACTATTGTTGTCCAATCCTTGGCTATTTAAATTAGGATCAACTCCTAAGAAATTCTTTCGGTATTCATTTTTTAATCCACCCATTCCTGTAATGTAGGCCATTAGACTTCCTTAGAATGTTTGAAGATGTGTAAGATATATATACACAGATTTGAGGACTGTGCCTCTTTTCACTGCAGTGTCTCCATTTTCAGTAATTCCTAATAAAGATGATATATTGGTGAATAGAAAACTATACATTTTGAGCCAGCAGTTTTAGGACCTTTTTTATTTTGTTTCTTTTTAGTACCAATCTAAAGTAGTGTAGATAGGGGCTTATTCACAAGCTTACTGATCGACTGGCGGCTTGCTTGACCGATTGGCGTTTGCCTCTGTCTAACCAGCACCTGCCACTGATTGACTGGCGGCTGCCGCTGTCAGACTGGTGGCCGCCATTGACTGGTACTTCCTGCTGCCAGCTGCCAGTAAGAGATTAAAACCTTACAGCAGGCGCGTCAACAGCGCCGCCATTTTGGGACGGTCAACATCGCTGCTGGACTGTATTCAGTACCAGTATAGAGCGGCAGTTTAAGAAATGTGTTGTCTAAAATTATATACTATTTCAAGAATGCTGCACTCAGAAAGTGGGATAGGATTATATGATGGAGAGAAAGCAGCGGTCCACTCATGTTTGTGTGGTTTATTGTTTTTGTAACGTTTAACAACTTATGTGTATGGCCGTGTGGTCGATGAAGCACACAGGACCTGCTGGTGTGATTGTTACTCCTCTGGTTTTTATATTAAGCTTACTTGACGTAATAGTCTGTACAGGAGATCTTAACTTGATGTAGTAGTTTTTTGTTTTTTTTTTACAATGATTGTTAATGCTGTGTACGCACTGTAGCTAGCTAAGTTAGTTAATCCGTGTAGATATTAAAAATAAATTAGCACGGTTTTACACGAAGCTTAAGTCAGCTTCTTATTCGCCAGCTTGTTTGACGTTTCTACCTTAAATGGTGCAGCAGCCCGCTTCTTGTTGGATCTTTTCTGTTCCACCTTAAATGGTGCACACTCAGACACCAGAATTTAGCCAACTGGTGCACCATTTAAAGTGGAACGAGAGAATTCGAACACCAAGCTAGCTAAAGGAAGCATCGTCCTTCTAACTGTGTTTTGGGGGGTTATTTCATCTTTATATCTATTAGGATCAGAAGTGAGTCACACACTGATGGACTTGCTGATGTGTGTGTGTGTTTCTACTAGAGCTCGCGCGAAGCTCGGTTTTTAACTCAGGTGCAGACTGAATACTTTTCTGCTGCTCCGGACAGCTAATCAGCACGACCAGTTAGTAAACAGAAATAAAAGCTACCGAAAGCAGTCCGTGCATCTTAGATTAATCCATGTATTATGATTGAGCACATTCGGTGAAAATCGGCTGGGTAATAAGGAAGTTATGGTCGATTTCATCATGAGAACTAATCATATTTCAGGATACGTGTATTTGTTTACAAGCGGGTATTGACCGCTTCAACCTGGCAAACACGCTTAAAAATGTAGGTTAAGTGATGTTTTGTGCTGTTCTGTGTTCAGAAAATGAATGCATTCCTCTATGTAAAACGTCTAAGCATTTGCAAACTATGATTTCTAGTGTCTGACCAATCCGGAGCACATTACTGAACGGCAATTCTCCTCTCAGTTATCAGTGCCAACAATATAGACTGCGTCTGAAACGTAATAAACGCGGCCTACTTAGACTCTAGATTTTAGAAGAAACTTTGGATGAGCAGATGTCTGAAAACTTTTGGATATATAGTTTATTCTAGTTAACTAATTCAAGTTCACATTCAGTGGTTGATGTGCTTGTTTCTCAACTTCTTGCCCAGTTCTATCACTTTAAGTGTTTCCATCTAAATCCGTCGGGGGGCATTTCCGTATGTGGTGAAGCGCTGCCGCCATTTTGTCCGTTTATACAAGCAGGCCGGGAACGTCGTCGACCAGTGCTCTTGTATGAAATCAAGTTTTAAACAGTCAAATCCATAGAACTGGTAATTTCTATGATTTATTTGTATCAACTGTATATTTAACATGATTATTTCTTAGGCGTAACTGTTCCTTGAGTTTGTTAGCTAGTTAAGTAACAGCGCTTGCTGGGTTAGCTTATGTAGGTTAGCTTGCTAGCTAGCTAGCTGCTGGTATCGTTGAGAAGACTCAAGGTAAATAATATTTTATTTGTTTAACCGATTGCTCGTCTTAAATATCTGATATCGGACCTAGACACCAGTGTCATCGTGATGTGCCTCGACTTCAACCAAGCCAAGAAGGGCCTGTCAGCGAACGGTTGCGTTGTTAGACACAGATACCGATGGCTAACTCGCTAGCTAGCTAACAAATCTAGCCGTTGTGTAACACAGGCCCAAGTCAGCAGAAAAACACCAAACTGTTAATGTGTCCATTTTATGGCCAGTACTTATTGTTATAAACGTGATTTGCTTAAGTGATCCCAGAACATTACTGCTTGTCTTAATACTAACGTTAATTAACGTGCTAAAATACTAAAAATTTGTTGTTCTATAGCAAGTGTATTTAAAGATAGACGCACTTGTCCAGTAATTCTCGTAAAAAGCCGTCTTCCTGATCTTTGTTTCGTGGTCTACATGTCGTTTTGCTTTGGATATTTCACTATGTCTGTACAAGTAAATGAGGTAAGTTAGCTAATTCAAAGTAGAAAGTTTTGTTTAATTAAAAAATGATAAGACGTTAACCTAGCAAACATTGCAGTGGTTTCAGAGATATTTTCTTTCATTTCCACTGTTGCTGTTGGTAGCACAGATTAATCATGCCTGGCATTTTAGATAGCCTGCCTTATTTGTCCAGTATGGTGTCGGTGTCTCTGGGCTCCAAATCATCGGACGGCTGAACATGATTCAGTTAGAATGATTTGAAAAGAGCATTAGCGTTACTACCTTTTAATTGATCATGGAAGTTTCAAGATTGGTAAATCTGAAAGTGCCATACAGTGTTGTGTACCTAACAATGATACAACATACTCTTATTGTGTGCGTTATTTGTATCTTCATGGCTCTCTTGAGTGCTTTGCTCACTAATATATCTGACATGGTGTTTTATGCATTCCTCACTCATTTACCCACTTTGTACAGTATGTGGGGAGTGTTTTTTGTTTTCTTTTTAAATGTAGGTTGTACATCAAGTTGTTCTTCAGTCCTGAAGATAACTGGATTTTGGATGCAGGCCAGCTTAAAGGGAAATATTTTCCCTGAAGAATACCCTTTTTCAGCCCCACATGCATTTTTTTCACATTGGGCTTTTTGTCTTCTCAAAGTTCTGCTGCAATTTCCAATTCTACTTCGTTTAAATTTTCCCACTTTTCTTCAAATTACCACCCTGTGTGAAGATTTAGAAGATTTCCTCCCCCCACCCCTCACTCACCCTCAAGATTTTCGTTCTCATTCTCCTTGGCTTCCATCTGCGACTTCTAGTTTGAAGATATTTGTTCCCCAAACCCCCTCCACACTTTCTACACCTGTCTTTGTTGAGGAAACAAAAACAGAAAGAAAGAAAGAAAGGAAAAAAAAACAAAACCAAAGGACTGTTTCACCACCGATCACTTGTTACAAAGCAGTCTTAAGGGGAGCAGGTCTCAGAGAAGAAAACCTAGGCCACAAGTAGCCTGTCTCTCATCCTGTTCAATATTTACTCATCGGTCAAGTGTTCCTTCAGGATCCGTACAGCTTGGAGCCAACCCTCAAGACGTGCACCTGGAAACGTCTTATCCACTGCAGGTAAATGGACACATTTCTCTCACACAAAGCAAAAAAAAAACACAAAGGAAAATCTCTGATTCATGAGGCATATATTCATGAAATATTAGTTTCACTATATCCTTCCATAGTCATTGAATGCTAGTAGGCATAAAATGAGCCTGAATGTAAATAGACTTGTTGCAATTTGAATAGGGAGGCTTCCAAGGGCCCTGTAGAAGCACTGAAGAGTTCCTGACCTGCAGTATTGCCTGGCTGTGATGAGCATGACCAACAAAGGAGATGACTGCTACTTCTACTACTACTCAACATGCACCAAGGTAGTTTATAATGGGTTAAAAGCCTTTTAAGAATACATTAATGCCTTGAAGTACTTCATGTGTATTTTTTGTGTTACCTTAAAAAAAAAAATCTGAACCTGATTAGCAAAGACATTCTTTTGAGTTATGTGGAAAGTTGGCAATATGTTTTCCTCCAAGTTATACTTTTAACATAAATTGTTGTTTAAACTAAAAAGCTTCAGCTTTGTGTGGGGAAACTTTCTAACATTTGTTTTCTTTGAAAGGGTGATAGTTGCCCTTTCAGACACTGCGAGGCTGCCATGGGTAGCGAGATTATGTGCAGCCTTTGGCAGGAGAACCGTTGCTTCCGCAGTGTATGCAAGTTTCGCCACATGGAAATAAAAGTGAGTATTGAGTAACGTTTTCCTGATTTGAGTGTTAAAGGCATTATATTATCGATTAATACATTTTGCTGCTTCACACAGAAAAACCGCAAAGAAATCCCTTGTTACTGGGAAACCCAACCGGGTGGCTGCCAAAAACCACATTGTGCTTTTCATCATGAGAAGCCACGTGTGATTGATGGGCTGTATGTCCCCCCAGACAAAGGTATGACATCGCTATTTTATTTATTTCCCAAAAAATAAATAAACTCTAGTCCTTTGTGCTCTTGTGACTGTAAACACCAACGATCACACACATAGTGTCATGATGTGTCTCACCTCACAGGGCCAGCTGTAAGAAAGGAAAAAGATGAGGAGACTCCACAGGAGGACCATGTTTTATCTGCTACGGCCCCCATTTCCAACCCCACCAACCCCCAGCTAAGAGGTGTCATTAAGTCGGAGACTCAGGAGAGTGTCCCCAGTCCTACACACCCACCAGTAGTCATTAATCCTGTGGACGATGAGGATGATGAAGATGGTAATCAGTGATTTCTCAATTACAAAATGTATTCACATGCTAAGCAGGCTTGGAAGTTAACATTGCTGTTTTGTAGATCAGGTCTCTGAAGAGGGAGATGAAGCTTCCAGTGTCTCTCCAAGGAAACTTATGAACTCTAGCAAAGGTAAAAATCTTTCTGCTCTTTGTTACTCATTGTACACTAAAACATTTGTTAAATTCAGTGTATTTTTTGCACAGATGATTCTCTCAACTTTGGTATCAATACCTTGGAGGAGATCAGGTTAAGGAAAGCTCTGAAGGCCAATCTAAAAAGAGCTGGTATGCCAAATGTCATGCAGTTTTTGCTTATCAAGTATATTTTGGAGTGTATAATACTTTATGCAGTGCATGTCAAAAGTATTGATTGTGCAGTTAATTGTTTGTATATTTTATTTTTAGGCCATCCCAGTAGCAACGGAGCTGGCACAGAGAAGGAAAATATTCAGTCTCTCACACAGCTGGCTTCTCTTGCTACCAAGAGTGGTATGCCACGGAATAACTGATTTAGCACTTTTGTAATATACAATACGCTGTTTATGTTCTATGTGTTTTGATGCATTCATGTTCTCTCTTACAGAGTCTTCTGTGTTGGAGGACCCTGGAAAAAGGAAAGTCACTGACAGGCTTGGAAAAAGACTTAACAGAGGTAATTTCTAAGCTTTATTACAACACCCCTTCTACTATTCAACTGTATGGTCTAAATAGACACCTATTCAGAGCATTTTTTGAGGAAGCGTATTTTGCTTTGTTTAGACATCCCTGTGGAAGGTGACCTTTGTCTGAAAGCGAGCCTTGCTGAGCGCCTTGGTGGATTTGTAGGCTCGCCTCAGAACAACCCAGATATGCCTCCTCAGAAAGGTAAGTCACTGTTCTTATTCATTTTATCCATGACACATTGCAACTGCTGTGCATCTTTATGTTGCACTTAAACCACTTTTAATATCTACTTCATTAGCTGTAAAACCTGTGCATGAAAGACTTGGAACAGCCCCTGACCTCACCGCACCCAAGTCACCTAACACTGAGCCAAAGCCATCTGGGGAGATCCGGATCAAAACTCTCGAAGAGATCCGCAAAGAGAAGGCTACTAAGTCCCAATTGCAGCGTAAAGGTGTCAGAGTTGTAATGGAGGTGCCAGTAAAAAGCTCCACCAAAAAAGGGAACAGGCCTGTGAGTGGACCGCAAGTAAAGACCTTCTCTGAGCTCCTGCATGAGAAGAAAAAGCTGCAGGAGGACAAGGGGGTGTCTCAGCAAGGTAGTTCCAGCCCAGAGAGAACTGAAGGCCTTGAAAATGCTGTAGCAGTCAAAGTAGCTGCTCAGTCAGGGGAGGTCAGAGTGAAGACCCTCGATGAGATTCGCAAGGAAAAAGCTGCAAGGATGCAAGCACAAGCACAGGCCCAGGACACTTCAAGTGACAACACCGTTAGTTCAAATGATGTGGCTGTGAAGAGGCGAATTCTTCGCATCAGCAAGAACACATGTATGTTTAAATAAGTTGTTTTTCTTAGTCATTTGTTGTTATAGAAATTAAGATTTTAAATTCATTCTAAAGATAAACTGTGTTTTTATAGCAGCCGCTTCAACCATTCCCTTGAAGAAGTCACAAGATTCTGAGAAGAAAGTGGATCATGTGGCAGAGGCAAGGATGGATTATACTTTTAATAGTCATTTTACTTGAATATAATTTCTGTGTACTTGATGCAATTATACAATTCATTTATTTATTTATTTATTTTTTAACCTATTTAGTCTGCCAATGGAAAAAGTGACCCCTCGAGCCAAGGTGTTACGGTAAAGTCCTTTGAGGAGATCATGCGAGAGAAAAAACTTCGCAAGCAGCAGGAGAATCAGGCCCTATCTACCAGCCAGCCAGACCAACCTGGTCAGAAATCAACCCCAGCACTTTCTGAGGAGAAGCCTCCTGTTGTAATCAGATCGCGCATAACTGGACCTGCAGCAGCCCCACTATCCACAGAGTTCTCAGACCAAGCAAAGCCTTCTGTACGACAGCGTCTTGGCATCAAACCCCAGCCCTCCCCTCCTGTGCCTGTGGTAATACCAGAGAAGATGTCTCCAGAGGCACAAGCCGAGGAGAACTCTCTCATCCCAAATCCAAAGAAACTGAAGCTGTCACCTACAGTAGCTCCTCATAGGCAAGCAGCAGAAGTGGCGGTTTCTCCAGGCTCCAACTCGCAGGAGCCACAAATGGAGAAGAATCAAGAAGCCCCCAAAACGTCCCCAAGCAAAGTCATGGAAACGAAAGGTACTGTTCATTATGAAGTACATAATCATATGTACTAAATCAACTACAGAAAGTTCTGTATTTAAACATATTTGACAATGTGTGGTTGTATCTGAATTTCAGTGAGGCCCAAGTTGAATGTGAAACCTTCTGTGATGAAGCCAGCTGCTCAGGTAAAACTTGGCCAGAAGAGGAAAACTGCAGGGAGTCATTGCTCTGCTGTTGCTGCAGTGAAACCTCTTAATGCTATCCCAGCACCTGAAATTCAGCCGCCCTGCAAGCACATCGAGGTGAAGCATCTATTACTACTGCAGAGAACTCATGAAGTACTGTCAAGTAATGGATTCACACTGCTGACAAACATTGTTGACTTGCTACTGTTTTCACTCCTTAGTCGACTGCTACGGTCTGCAGTTCAGAAGTTGGCGCTGGTACCCAACAAATGTCATCTCTTGTGGAAGACGGCATAAACCTTCCCAGCAAAACTATGTCGCCAGTGACTGAGACTCTCTCTGTCCCACAAAGGTATGGCATGTTTTCTGATTTGTTTATAAGCTGTCCAACACTGCGTTAACGACAGTTAAAAAAGATGCGGTGGCAGGCTTCCATCCTTCGGAGGAAGCTTGTATTAGCCTTCACGTCTTCGCGCTGGTGGTATCGTGTGGTTGGAGGTGTCCTAGCTTGTGGGATGGAATTGGATATGACTAAATTGGGGGGAAAATTTAGAAAAGAAAAAAAAATGTGTGGAGTGTCTCAATGCTTTTCCCCCACCTTCTTCCACTTCACTTCTTGTAGTCCTGTTGTTAAAACACCGACCCTGTCTCGGGCACGTCGGCAGAGTTTGGTTTCTGCTCGCGCTGCTACTAATCCAGGAAGCTCCTCCATGGTGGATGACTTTGAGGACCTGTTGGATGAATTCACTGATGACAAGTTGGAGGATGAGATGGAGCTGGACCCTGGCAAGGGCGAGGATGATCTCCTGCTAGAGCTCTCAGAAATGATTGACGGCTAGGCCTGAGCTCAGGAAATCATGGAATTACATTAAGCTCTGTATACCCCAGCCCTAATCCACTGCCACCTAAGATAGAACGGACTGTAAACTTTTAAAATTGTTTGACTTCTTAATGAGCTTATCATGATTTAACTTTATTTTAAAGTTAAAAGTTTTATTTCAAAATTTGAATCAGTGTCCTGTTTTAGTTTTCTTTACTATTTAGATTATTTTTAATGTTTAAATTTAAATGTTTATATATTGAATTTCTGCATATTCAGTATGTTCACTATCAATAGCTTGTGTGAAGATGGAGAGAAATTCAGAAAATTTGAAGAAATTGATCAAGCCATCATAAGACACCCTCGGGAGCATGGCTTGTACTTAACTAGTTGGACTGTATGAGGACTTGTTGCAAATTATGTATTGTTAATGCAGAAAGTTTTATCTTGTATACTGTGTATGCTTTGGAGAGCTTTGTGTGAAAGAGATTTAGAGGGCCAGGAAGGCAAATCGTGTCTTAATCAATGCTCTCTTTAATTTTATTATTATTATGTGGTGTGTGTGCACATTTTCACAATTTAGTTTGCTGAACGTTTTTCAGGAATGGACAGAGCCATGATATTTCATCAAATGTGTAGCCAGTTCAGTGGATGGTGTTGAAACAGTTTCATGAAATGTATGTGCTGAAATAAATCAGTTGAATCTTTTCCTTTCCCCCCTTTTCCCAGCAGTTGGATGTTTATCAGTTCTGTAATACCCCATTGCATGATTTTTTGGTCTACATCAAGCTGTTTACTTGGGACCATTTAGCTGTATTTCCTCTCCAAGTAATTCAGGTGAAAATGTATGCCACCTTCATTCTGGTGTTACCTTAATGTGAAAAAGTTGGTTCTCAGGGACTGTTTCAGCACATTTAACCATGGTGGGTTAAATATGTTTTCACATATGTTTTGTCAGAGATCTTGTCTTTAACTTGTCGCCATTTCATTTTTTACGGTGTCTGTTCAGAACTAGACGTAGGTTCATATAATTTGTGTCTCAGATTCTGCTCCATGTTTTGCTTAATTCCACTTATGTCAATCTCTTTGTAAATAAAATACCTTTATGAAAAAAGGTGTTCCATATTTAATATGGTGCTTAAATGAAAATGTGCAATACATTTCTTTGTTCCTTCTCCTACCCTGCCGCCCATTGAAAAATTTATAAGGGGCCTGGGGCAATTTAATATTTATTGGTAATTATAATAAGCCATTAATGACTTTAACTGAAAGTAGTGCTTAACAGAAGCTAAACACATGCAAATCATGTTTACATGTGTCAGGCATTACAATGGTAAACTGAGATCACAGTTGTCACTAGTGGTAGGATGTGTTCAGGGTTCAAACAGCAGGAAACATTAGTTTCATTTAAATTGTCTTATGTCTGTTTACATTTCATGCTGGAGTTTGCTGGTCTCCCATGAAAAGCTACGTTTGCTTACAGAGGATCTGACACCTCCCTGTTCTGTCTGGCTATTAGCTTGAGTGGGACATTTAAAGAAAGAAAGTTCAACATTCCTTCCATATTTAAAATATATTATTAATATTTATATAGATATTAAAATATATATATATATTTTTTTACAAATGTTCATATGTTTCTGCAATATTCTGCATATGTATACATAATTTCTTTAGGTAATTTTACATGGGCTATTTTTTAATCTTTCAATTTTCATTTTATGTCATACATGTGTGCATTTGTATATGTGACATACTTGACTAAGTTGGTTCTGATTCTGAATAGTCAATCAAAAACTGACAAAAGATTGCACATGTAAACATTTTAAATCACTTTCATTGCCTAAACAAAGGACATTAAAAAACAAAGGAAAGGCAGTTACACAGTGACTGATAAAACTGGCCTTAACATTTTAGGAAAGTAAAGTAAATAGGCTAAAACAGTTTAGCCCACTCATTGACGCTGAAGTTATTAGTGTTTCAGCCCAGGCAGCTTTTTCAATGAAGCACAATACAGGATCAGATCAATATGGTCACATATATCAGTCTTAAAGGCACAGTAACAAAACAGACTGTTCAATTTTAAGGGATAAGAGAGGTTGGGACATGGTCGTGTACAATGCATTATGACTGTTTATGGTACATAAAAGCACACAAATACCAGTTTGTGCGCACCTGGGTTTAAACTAAACCCAAATACGGTATCAATTAAAAATCACACATCTGCCTCTAGATGTCGCTGTGTCTGATGTTTATCTAAAGTTTATCTTAAACCTGTTATTTTAGCGTTCCATACTTAAACCTATATAACTTCCACCATAATTGTGCAATTTTACAATTCATTATTTAATTAAACAACAAAAAGAAACAGCACCCAATTTCGTGTAGGCTAATAAAAACATGAGCACATCTTTGAGTGGTTGTTTGGTAGATTTTATTTGAGAGCCATTGAACTGCACATATAGACTTACAGACGCAGTGGTCTGATCATGTTACTGATTGCTGTGAACTGAATTCTGTTGATTCAGGTCGTGTCTGCACACCGTGGAAAAGCACAGCAGTGCGCCCGTGGTATAAAACAAAATGCAAAAACCACGATAAAACACAACAATGTTCAAATAATACTTTATTAGTAGGCCTAATATTAATCACAAAAGAAAATTCTTTAGCCAAGCAACGTGCTTTCTCAAGAGTAGGGTTTTAATAACTTGAATTAAAGAATTCGATTTGCTTCAAACGTGGCTCAGATTTTAGAACAGAAACTAACGTTATTCAGGAAGACACTCACTCATGTCCGAATCCAATGTGTGTATAAACTGCTGCCTGCTGAGGTTCCTCCGTTCGGTCGTTTTTTGAAGGCTGCGTAAGTGTATGCTTCGCTGCCTACATATCCCAGAATTCTCCGTGTCAGCGCCGATGCCGTTAGGAAAAACTCTAAATTTTCATTAAAATAAATGAAACTGGAATTACGGTAAATTCTGTAAAGTACTGGCCACACAACTGGCCTGTGAACACAACATCAAATCTCTCCAAGCATCTGCACAGGCAACATGCTAACATTAAACTAATAGGTGAAAGACCCACGGATCTAGAGTGATGCTAAAGCTGAGTGTTTGCCGACGCCAACCAAGCAGTCAAAGCTTAATTTTCAACAGGTAACAAAAGCAGAGATTAACAGGCTTTTTCTGTGAAGTGCTCTTTGGGCTGGTTTTCACCACCTTTGCTGTCGGCTTTGTGGTACTTTACTAAAGAACATGAAAGAACTCGTGTATGTCCTGCTTATTGGGATAGGGATTTGTACTTAGGCTGAAGTCAGCTTCCTACCCACCAGCTTCTTGTTCTAATTTTCCTGTTCCACATTAAAGGGTGCAGCAGTTATTATAATACCGCTGGCACCAGAATGTAACTGCTGCACCATTAAAGTTGGAATGGGAAAATTTGAACATGAAACTGACTTTAGCTTTGTGGCATATGTAAGGTTTAACGTTATAGGCTTTTGTTTACCAGCACTTACGTCACAATTCATCTCAGGCAATGTTGGGGCGAAACGCAAAAGTAATGTAATGAGTAGTGTAATGCATTAATTTACACAGGCAGTAAATAAATAAAGTAATGCATTACCTAAGTAACGAGTAATGTTTAATACATTACTTTTTTTTTAATAATGACCCCAACACTGATTATTTCACAAGAGCATCATCTGTGTTGCACTTGAAAAACTCTAATAACTATCCACTAAAAGCTATCAGACCTGTACATGAAAAACTTGGAACAACCACATTGCACCCAAAGTCACTTAACAGTGAGCCAAAGCCACCTGGGGAGATCAGGATGAAAACTCTCAAAGAGATCTGGCAAGAATGGGTTCCCAAGTGTCAGCTGCAGCTTCAAGGTATCAGAGGTGTACAGTGGGACACATTTTATTTCAGCACAGCATGCATCAAGAAAGGTTTTAACTGAAGCAGAATGTTCTGAGAAAATTTCAAGAGCGCCATGCAACCAACTCCATCTTACAGACAATATATTTAGCAGGTGACAGGGTGTATCTTAAAAGGAGTGGACTATACAGGGTGGAAAGGACTAGGAGTGGTGGTTTCTTAGAAGAAATCTCAAGATTCTGAGAAGAAAATGCAACATGTTAAAGAGACAAGGATCGATTCTACTTTTGTCAAGTCATTTCATTTCATGATTCTCCAAGGAGTGACTCTGTCAGTAAAGGATAAAGTCCTTTTGAGAAAATCATGTAAGAGAACAGACTCAAACAGCAAGCAGCAGGACAATCAGGAAGCTCCTCTACCCTGGATGATTAGGAAGACTTGCTGCGTTGTCAGAAATGAATGACAGCTTGGCCTGGGCTCAGGAAATTTTGGACGCCCTTCAGTGAAGCCTAGTTCTTTGTCCATGTGTATATTCTCCTTTTTACAGCCCTGTCCTTTGTTGTGCATTGTTTGGTACCTTGCATGTTTTTCTCCTCATGGTTCCCTGGATTATCTTCTTGTTTCTGGTTTACCTCCTGTTTGGTTTTCCTTGTAATTTCTACATGTATTTTGTTAATTGTCTTACCTCCTTAGTTTGTAATTTTTGAGTTTGTGATTATTATGTGGTTTTGATTTTCTTTTGGTTCCTGGTTTCCTTATGGATATCTCCACTCTGCTTGCCTCCACTGACCGTTACCCAGACTCTGTAAACTCTGGACTCCACTTGCACCTGAATCCTGCCTCCATACCTCGTTCATTACATATATATGAAATTTCCACACATTCAGTATGTTCACTATTAATTGCTTGTGTGAAATTGTATGCCCACTTCAATCTCTTGACTTGGTGGATGGTGGATTAAAAACATATTCATTGAATGGGACATATGGAGAGATAAGGTGGGTTGTTCCTTCCAAATTTAAAATACATTATCAGTAGCCAGTTATCAAACACTGATGAAGTATTACACTATGTTAAATCACTGTCATTACCTACACATTCTAAAACCAGGGGTACAAGAAATTATGCAATTCTTGATAAAACAGAAGTAACCATAACCCTAGAAATTTGTATGTCATCATACTTACCATGTGTCTTTTAAATGCATTTGAACTTGAAATCAAAGTGGACCTTTATTTTGTTAGTTCATGTTCCTGCACACAATATGGCACATTTGCCATATTGTTCAAAATAAATAAATATTGTTTTCCCATAATCTTCCATTAAAATGTTGACTTTTGTTTGCTTCACCATGCAACAGTGGGCAGGAAAAAATAATATTAACCGATTATATCGCATTTCACCTTTTTTCCACCATCTCTGTATCCCTTAGAATTTTTTGTTGTTGTTATTGTAAAAAATACTGATATATATATAAATGATGTCTGTTCTGATTGGCTACCCTGTGATGTGGCTTATTCAAAAACCAGTCTGGGCTGGAGTGTACAGAACAAACTGTTTGGATTAGACTTGTTTGAGCAACACCGTTTGGGCATATCTGAAAGGCTATACCATGATACATTTGTTTCTCCACAGCCAGGAACATCTTTTGTTCCAATAAACCTCTGAGGTTGTGCATCAATTTGAAGTCAGCAACATGTCCAAAGAAGGAACTCTGGGTGTAAGTCATCAATGTTCAAGAGTCCTAGCTTTTATATACTATATATGTACCGATATTTAGATCTCGATTCCTTAATGAGCTTTTAATTCAGGAGACCCTGCAGAATTCTTTAGTTAATGTTTACTTTTTAATGATATATATATATATATATATATATATATATATATATATATATATAATATATATATAATATAATCTGTCTCAATTTAAATTTCAATGTGTGGTCTCCTTTTAGTTTTTGGGGTATTGCACCACAGAAATTATAAATGGATGTTTTTCATACATTTCTTAATTTTTATTTCAAGCATGCTGTGTTAAACTACCCAACATATTTACAACAGATGAAGCAATGGTTACATTTTGCAATTTGGCTGGAATGCCCTTCTAAATATATATATATGTACTTTGTAGCTGCATTAACAGACTGTAGTCCATCTGTTTCTCTGCATACTTTGTTAGCCCACTTTTACCCTGTTCCTCAGTGGTCAGGACCCCCATGGACCCTCACAGAGCAGGTACTATTTGGGTGGTGCAACATTCTCAGCACTGCAGTAACACTGACGTGGTGGTGGTGTGTTAATATGTGTTGCGCTGGTACGAGTGGATCAAGTGCTGCTGGAGTTTTTAAACACTGTGTCCACTCACTGTCCACTCTATTAGACACTCCTACCTTGTCAGTCCACCTTGTAGATGTAAAGTCAGAGACGATAGCTCATCTGCTGCTGCACAGTTTGTGTTGGTCATCCTCTTGTCCTTTATCAGGGGTCACAGGATGCTGCCCACAGGACGATGTTGGCTGGATATTTTTGGTTGGTGGACTATTCTCAGTCCAGCAGTGACACTGAGGTGTTTAAAAACTCCAGCAGCACTGCTGTGTCTGATCCACTCAGACCAGCGCAACACACACTAACACACCACCACCACGTCAGTGTCATCACTGCAGTGCTGAGAATGATCCACTGATCCCAATGATATGTGTGTGTGTGTGTGTGTGGGTGTGGATAATGGATAATTTAGCCTTATGTGCAGATGGGACACTTACAAGGGCGTTCCAGCCAAATTGCAAAATGTAATAATTGATTAGGAGCGGAGCGCACGGTACGTTGCAGTGCATGCTGGGGATTGTAGTACAGCGTATTGTGAAATTAATAGAAAATTCACATAATTTGGCGGCCCAGATAGGATTGTGCCACGGGCCTAACCCGTGGTCTTTGTGTTTCACACATGGGCAACATAGCACGGAGGTTACTTTTCTTTTGTAAGAAATAAGTAGCAGAGAGAGAGGCTTTTCTAGATTTATGGGGTCACATGGGTTTAAAGTGGCAGGAAGGGTTGCTAAGAGGGTTTTGTTTGCATACTTACATGATACCAGTTCACATGAGGCGATTTATGAGAATAAAATACGTTGTAAATTAAGGTTGGTTTCTCTTTCTTCCTCTCTCCTTCTCATTTTTTTCTTTTAAGCTCATGCTGACTGGATCCTGATCGGACAATAGCACGGTAGGTGGCGGTATGAACATCTAGTTTGCCATATGCTATAAGGTTATGTATCCTCTCTGCTTCAAAACCACACAAGTGTCCCAACTCCTCTGAATTTACTTAGTTCGTGCTCCGGTCCTGCAGGTGGCAGTAAGCTCACAGTGTTCGTCTTTGACTTCAGCTACTTCAGAGAGAACAGCGTCAGGAAAGGGCTAAACTTAGTTTAGCTGCGCAGCTAATATTGCGACAAATAAATATTTATCTTTTTAAAAACTCCTTTCAAAGACAACGAAACACCGAGGAGAAAGGCTTGCATAGGCCTTGCGTTTTTGCCTGAGCGCGGATTCAGTAGCTGGGATGCATAATTTCCCTCGCAATTTTAGCTTGTTTAATGGAAGGTACTGGAAATTTCACAGTAAGAAGGAGGACATATTTATTAGACATAGAAGTGCGATAAGCCCGCGACAAAGATTTTTAACGCGTTCCTAAACTGCAGGAGGAGGTCTGTGACTTTGTGAAATTTTGAGTAAATTGGGAGCGCAAGCCTGTTTGTTGTTGCCTCGGGCTTCATGATTTGCATCGCTAGCGGTGGGCGAGTCAAAAACACTGCTGCGAGAGAATTTAGCTAACCTAGTGAGTTAACAGTGTGTTTGTAACGTTAGCGCGAGTTTTTTGTGGTATTTAAATGTCAGGGTCTGCCGAAATAACGTGCAGTTAGCTAACGTTACCAGGTTTTTGTAGCAAATTCGAACTGATGGTTTGCGTGCGCTTAGCTACTCTTTTAGGTTAACTGTTTACCTGAGCGTTATCTAGTAGGTCTGTGAGGGTTCAGAGGGGCCGTTGTCGTCAGTTTCTGTCAAAATAGCCGTAAATCATCAAACAGACCATGAAGCTTTTAGAAAATTCAAGTTTTGAGGCCATAAACACGCAGCTCACGATAGAGACGGGAGACTGCAAGATAATAGGACGGTAAGTTCGCAGAAAACTTTGTGAACAGTCATGTCAGCACTAAAGCCTAACACACGAAATAATAATACAAAAGTCTTTATTCCTAAAATGACAGTTTGTTGGACCTTATTAAAAACATAACACAATGTTTTTTGAAAACATTTTTATGTAATGTTGTTAGCTGTTTGTTACTTTCTGTGGGCCAGTCAGTGTTTGGGTATTTTGAGCAAGATGGCCTGTTTTAGTGCTTCCATTAAAATAGCTCCTTTTACAGCTTAGTAGTCTTCACAATAAAAAGTTGGTTAGGTATCGGTACTGGCTGATAATCAAGATTTCAGTATTGGTATTGGAAAAGAAAAAGTGGTTTTGTGCCATCTCTACCATTTTTAAATGGATATTTCTTTAAACAACTTTTTTCATAAATTAGATAAGCCAATGCAAAGAACTGTTTTCAGATTGTAAGAAGCTACGCATACTATAAAGTTTCTGTACAACTAAAACATTTCTCCTAGAACCATATAGGATAACTCAATAAGTAATCAGAGGGAGATGATTGGTTTCCTCCCATTAGATCAATGGTTCTCACCCCTGTTCCTGGGGCACCCCTTGCCTTGCACATTTTAGTGTTTTTTATGGCTCCTACGCACCTTATCTGACTAATAATTTAATTAACAAGCCCTTCCTGCGATGAAGTGGCAGCAGGAAAACACTAAAATGTGCAGAGCAGTGGGTACTCCATGACCAGGGTTGGGAAACCTGTGCATTAAATGATGCTTTGCAGAAATTGTTTGATGTACAGCGACAGATCTACTCATACTTTATATTGTACTGAGCTGATTGTAGTATGTATTTAGTGTGTTGTCTGTATCTTTTTACTGCATTCCATTTATCTAATCTGCATCTTGGGTCACTGTCCGTGTTGTGGTGTTTTGTTGTCTCTGCTAGGATTGAAAGTTACTCCTGCAAAATGGCAGGTGAAGACAAGCAGATGTTTAAGCAGTTCTGTCAGGAGGGACTGCCTCATGTGCTGGAGGCACTGTCCCCTCCACAGACCTCTGGAGTCAGCCCCAACAAGTAAGAGAATGACTAGGTTGGGCAAAACCTTTAGACCTTAAATCAGAGCTTTAAATGACAGGACACATTTGTGGTTTGTTTTATATGCCATATGTGCATGTACATGGTTTTCCTCTCAGGCTGAGCCACAGTCAAAGTGGCGATGAAGGGGAGGGTCCTCTCTCAGATAAGTGCAGCAGAAAGACTCTGTTCTACTTGATTGCCACTCTCAATGAGTCCTTTAGGCCGGACTATGACTTCAGCCGCACCAGAGGCCACGATTTCAGCAGAGAGCCCAGTGTCAACTGGGTAAGGAAGTTAAAATCTTGACAGAAGTACAAGGCATGTTAAAAAGTGGTTAAAAGAGACTATTTTTATTTTTAGTAGACAATTTTACTATTACAATTTTATTCTTAGACCACAGTTGCTTTATTGTAATGGTAATTAAAACATATAACAAGTTTATGTAACAAGAACTGGTATAATGCTTTGTATGATCCTAGCTAGGACAGTGTACCAGTAAAACAAAGGGTACTGGTCTGTTTCATGGTGTGGTATTTTTTCAGGTGTTTAACGCAGTGAACAGTAGTTTGTCTGCTGCTGCTGGGGAGGCATACAGTCGCCTGCAGCCTCAGCTCTGGGAGGCCATTGACAATGAGATCAGCCTGGCTGAGTGTGATATTTACAGGTACAGCCTATCTTAATGCACATACTTGCAAAACATTCTGGAAATACCCACATACATTCATGATAGCCCTTTTCCACAGGACAGTGCAGTATGGCATGGTACAGATCCATATTCTAACATTTTGTCATCATTTCCATTGACAAGTGACCCTTACCTTACCTGAGTTGCTGTGCTGAATTTGGTTACCCTTCTTGCCATGGTACCAAGCACACTGAATAGGGACATATTTTAAATAGTGCACACTGTTGATTGGCTAAACACAATCAGCTCTTTGCAAAATTATGATTGACACGCCTCTCATACATTTGTAATGGTCTCTAAATGCTACTTGTATGGAAAATTCCTCAGAACAAATTTACAGTGAGAACTGCAGTTGCTGTAAATTATTAGGCTAGAAATTGGTGGGAAAGTGTTGCTTAACAACATACAATGCTCAATCTTGTTGAGGGTAGTGTTTTTATCTCTTTCCTGAAGCTGAAAAACTTTGGATTAAACTATATGTGCATACCACACACATGAATGGTATCTACTAGTTGGTATATAACCAGTTTAGATGTTTAAGACTAGCCTAGTTTTAATAATAAGAACCATATTTAACAACTGATGTAAATGTAAAATATTTTTATTGTGCGAAACATAATTGAACAATATATAGATATTCCTGTGGTCTGTATGCAGTTAGGACTATTACCAGATTAATATGTCACATAATATAAAAACTGGATAAATTGCTGTTCTTGCTAAAGATTTTAATGGTAAAAATGTTTATAAGGGTGTTTAATTTATGAAACCTCCTCCTTGTTAGACATGAAAACTGACTGCTTTAATGTTGTCTGGCTAAGTGATTTCCGTGGTTCAGTATAAACATGTTTTTCAGAATCTTTTTTTTTATGTTTGCTTTGAATTGGCCAACACTCATATTTCATAATTTCTCAAGCACTGAACATCTTCTAAAGCCAGTTTGCTTTCTCTTCTTTGTGCTTTCCTTTGTATTACTGGATGTTTTATGCTAACCATACACTAGAAGACTTTGAAAAGACGTTTGAAAGACTAAAGTCTGACACCCTCTCACATCTAAAGACAGTGTCACAGTTTTTAGTCATAGATTATAATTTTGAAAAGACAGGAAATCTTGCAGTGTCACTATTTACAAGACTGCAACTAGACTTTTGAGATTATTTCCCATCATGCACCTGGTGGAAATATACAAGCAGAGAAACCCTTTTCCTTCCACTCTATAGTGGTACAGATGGGAAGATACATTGACTGAGCATGTAAAGATCTGGGGCTCAGCCCAGGTCACTGTAGAACAGTATATTCTGGTCAGATCATCACCCAGAATCTTTTAATTAACCTGTAAAATGTGCAGTTACTTTTTTATTTAACAAAGATTTATCACATCAACACAACATGCATCAGCCTTGTTGATTGGATATTATGCACTAAACCATAAAAAACAAACAGTGTAACAGAAAGCAAAAAAAAACATGAAATATTAAATCAGTCAGTTTACATTTTAAGTTAATGTGATTATTGTATTAAATTGGAGCAGATTTGCTGTTTTTACAGAGATTTCGAGATTTCAGGCACTCACACGTACATTCTCTCTCTCTCTCTCTCTCTCTCTCTCTCTCTCTCTCTCTCTCTCTCTACCTCCTGCGCCGCGCACATGCTTGATTTTGTTGCAGCGTCAAGACGAGAAAAGGGCTGACTTAAGACCACAATCTTGACCACCTTACACTAAACGATCGAGATGACGCGAGCGCGACGCAACTCTAGCAAGACACTCATGATTTTATCCCGACATGGATATTTGTCTGCGACAGTGAAATCGCTTGAAAAGTCGTTTGGTGTAAGGCCGGCATTAGTCTGATCGTGCTACGATTACCACCAGGTAGCCAGAGCTGCAAGACGAATGTAGCAGCAATAACTAAGTGAGGCAGGACTTGTCAGAATTTTACAAATGTTCTGTTGTTACCGAATCACTGCATGAGTCAGATCACTGTTAGTGTTTTCTTTTATTATTAGCTCACATGCAAAATCATGTCACTGTCACACAGACAATCACACAGACTCCAGAGAACCTGCCTTCTTTCTTGGGAACCAGTATGATGGGAACTGGACACAGGTACTCGAACAGGGCACAGATAGGTTAGATTAGTAAAGGCGCCATGGCTTACTGCTCTGTCCAGTGAAAAGGCAATAATAGTCAGTTGAGCTGAGGTCCTGAGGTTGAGTGACATTGTGTCTGTCTGAGATGACAGTACTTTGTTCTTTGATATTTGAACTTTTTGAGAAGATGCTTATCTCTCCCACATTTGTCTATTAATGGCTTCTTTCCCCTCATTTCAGTTATAATCCAGACCTTGATTCAGATCCTTATGGAGAAGAGGGCAACCTGTGGTCCTTCAACTATTTCTTCTACAACAAAAGGCTGAAAAGGATCGTGTTCTTAACATGCCGCTCTGTCAGGTGAAGTTCTTGAGACAGAAGAAAATGTTTATGCAAGCACATGCTCATTAATTCTGTGCACTTAATTATGGATTCAGCAGGTTTCTTGAGCATGTAGCGTAAACACTTTAAATATTTAAAAATAGTGTTTGCGTTTGTGTAATGACTGTTTTTGGATCCAGTCTTTTCATGGCTCCACGGGACTCTGGTATTGGCACAGAGTTGGATCTAGACTTGGATGAAGGCAGCTATCAGGGAGGAGGAGGAAGAAGAGAACATGGATGAGGAGAGGTGAGGGCAGATGTATAAAAAGGTAATTTAGCAAGCCAAATGTTAAAGTGGAATATCTGTTTTAAGAAATTCAAATGTCCAAATGAAAGGATCAGTTTCATCAGCAGTAATGTGTAAGTACCTGAACTACTAGAACAACAGCTATCTCCTGTAACAGTATTTTCCCTTGCAGGTATGGAGCTTTATGTGCCCAGTGAAGGTGCCGTAATTCCAGAGCTTTGCTCCTGAATGCCTCTGAACAACATGGATATCTCTCATAGAGTCTAGTTTTACTTTTGCCCTTATACTTCATAAGTCATTATCTGTTATGTTTCTTGCTTTCACCATATGACAGAATAAATCTGTGTTTTTGGAGGATTTCTGTGAGAATGAGATCAGCACAGGGGTTTTATATGTATTCAGGCGTTTTTGGTGTATAATTTTGCTTTTTCTTTTTACCAGTTGCTGTTGGACTGTTTTATCTTATTTAAGACTAAAAATTGCGTGCTGATGTAATATCAGTTTTGAGGCATTTTTTTCTGTTCACCTCCTAATAGAGAATGAGCCTGTTACATGTTTTATAATAATTATTTTAGACCCATCATCATATGCAGTGGACCAGGCGTTTGTTAGTTTTTCCAATCCCTCTCACAATTCTGTTTTCAAAACTATTCCTGAGTCTCCTGCCACCAGGGGGCGGATTGCACCGTGCAATTGTCGACCCACGTGTCACTATCTTTTGTGTCTGTTAAGCTTTAAGCATTGTTTGATTTTTCAAGCCATCACATTTTGAACTTTTTTTATTTTATTTTGCTGTGACGTTGGGGGATCAAGCACCAAAGATATGAGGCATGTTTTTGGTATGTTGGTTAAAGTTTTGTTTTTTCATGAGAATTTTTATTTTTTAAACTACTTGTTGTATGTGCATGACATTCATTGCTTATTTCCAGCGGGTGGGAAAGAAGTACGTCCAGCACCCTTGCACCAAAGGCAAATTGCTGTGCTTAAAGGCACAAATGCATTGTTCAGAGGAGGGACATTTCGAGTTAGTGGTCGACTTACATGGCCTATCCATGGTGCCCTCTCCAAACCAGTCTCTAGGGGCTCCTGTATGTTCTAATATCCAGATTCCAGAGCCACCACTGTCCCCCAAGTGTAGTGTGCCTGAGGGGAAACTAAACATAACACAAAAATTCCAGAATTAGCTTTGTGTTTGTACAGTGTTCACTTTTCCCATTTATGGATAACAAAGACAGTTGTTATTTAGATGCACAATTTTTTTAACCTAATACACATATCTTGTTTGATAGATTTGTCTGTATTTGTATTAACCATTACTTGGGACAAAAGTATAGTTTTTTTTGCTATGCTTTTTTCTCACAGATAGACTAAACCAGCATTAAAGATATTACAATTTTAGGCTTATATCCCAGGCTGAAATTTTCTTGAGCTTGCTTACCTCTCTGATATCACCAACTGCTGCATAAATATCAACAGTATGTAAGGTTTTATTGCAGAAAATAAGTTCAGTCACCAGAGCTCACTAGTTTGTACCAGTTCTAATCTAAATGTTGAGAGGGTGAGATAACGAAACTTTTCCTGTCCTCTTCCTTTTCCTTTGTTCACAATTGTTTTTACTGGAGTTAGGATTTGTGTGCATGTTTTGGATGTTAATTTTTTAAGAACAGTGCAGCACAGCGCGTCTCCACAGTGTTTTGTTTGTTATACTAAAGCTCATGCTTCTTGAAAAAATTGGAAATATTTTCAGTCCTAGTATTAGACAGAGCTAAACCGAATGCATGATTATTTGCTTGACCTGAGTATAATGTAAGGTTTGCTACTGTTTTTCTCACTGAATAGTGGAGTTACACTACAGTTCTGTTGCGACATTCTGAACTGACCATCAGCTTTCTGGGGTTTGACCACATGTCAAAGTAAATAATGCCATCTTAGTATGCTAAAAGCTGGTCAATCGATTTCCTCAGCTAAACATTACACGTGTAATTCAGATTCTAACACATTCAAGACACATTCAGTGCTCAGTGTTCTGTATTGTTATTGAAAAGTATAGAATGTGACTCATTACATTTTGTGGTTAATTCCTTAGTGTTCAGATTAGTATGTATTGTGGCAGCTGCTCTAACAGGGCTTTTGTGAGATGTAGGGTAAAATGTAATGTCCAGTACATTTACAGTTTTAAAGCCAATGTTTAAAAATTGAAGTTTACCCATTGATTCTTAATGTATAGATCAATCAGCTGGTGAATGTGCAGTTGATTTGTGTTTAACTCCTTTCATTCTGTGTGACTTAATTCTTTCAGTGCATTATTTTGTAGTAGCCTACTTCCTTAAGTTCCAGAGTTTAGTAGGAAGGGATTTAAGTTTTATGAAACTTTAAATGCTATAAAGGTGCATTTTTGTTACTCGGGGTATAGCTAATTTATTTGTGTGAAGATATTCAAAACCAGACACAAGTCTAAGATAAAGTTTTTACACTGATTCTATACATTCAAGGAGTTTTTAATTTTGGCAGCTTATGGGGCAATAAGCTTTTATGGATTTTATTTTTAAGGAGTTTTGCCAAAATGTGCTGTTTTTGAAGTGGTATGTGTAATAAATCTCCAGACTCTTGCTGGGTCAAACCTCATGAAAGTCTGTGTTCATTGACATTGAACTTTCTAAAGAATTACTTGGCTTGAAATAAGTCAAATTCTGTCAGCAAATATGTCACATTTGTGGAAAAACAAATGTTATTTAACCTTTCTTTATTTGTACTGGCAACAACAAAATACTTAAAACATCAACCCATGGAACTGAACAAAAGTGTAGTGTTCTTTTTGCCATAGTTACAAAAGTGATATTTACAATTTTCACAAAAAAGTAGTTTGACAAACATGAGGGTCAAAGCACTGCATGCAGGCATCACTACTGACATCAAATGTAATGCCTTTGTTTTGCTTCACATGTTAGACACACCACGTTACCATTACATGGAAACTTTAACTGCGGTGCAAGTCAGCTAGCACTCTGTATCCTTCGGGGTCTAACTAAGTCCACCCACAGCACATACACATAACAGACAGTACTCATGCCTTAGATCATGTTTTAATTTATCTATGACCTAAGTCACCATGCCTATAATGACATCACAGGTTCCTCAGAGAACAATGAAAGAAAGGAAAAAACCCTGGCACTGAGGAAATGTCTTTCCTGAAAGGTTATACAGAATTGTAGCAGGACTTTATGTACAGCTCCTGGTCGACCTATAAACACAGCATTAATTTTATCCTCCCTGTTCTACCATGTTCTCTGAGTGAATCAAGACCAGGATTTGTCATGAGAATACAGACATGTCTCCTATTGGTACAGAACATGAAACCTCCAGGTGGGAAAGCACTTTAGCTAAACTGAGATTCACTCATTAAAATGAGGATCGGTGAAAGTAAATCTTTGGTAGGTTACTCCAAAAAAATACAACTACATAACATCAACTGTCCTAGTGAAAAAGGCACTTTAAATAGTCGACCTCATTTTTCCACTGCAAATTATGTAAACAGTACATATGAAAAAAAGGCACATACTGTGCATCAAGTATCCCAGGATTCAAGTTAGAGGTGTCAGACAAGTGATTCAAAGTCTCTCCAACAACGTGAATGTACACTGTATGACATATATACATGGAAATCACAATACTGCTGAAGTGAATGTCTTTGCACAAGTCTGACGGGTTGAGGAAGGTCCAGTTGTGCTTTGAACGACAAATCTGCTTGCAGAGCGGCCGATGCACAACTTAAGTCTTTCAAATTTTCACAGCCCTTGGTTGTTTTCTCCTGATGAGACCACATCAGCATAGGTAGTTCCCAGATGCAATAAGAAGGCTATCAAAGCATTGTGGTCCTGTATCTACTTCACCACAATGGCCAGAAAGCCTGACTGAAGCCTCTCAGATTCTTTGCCTGATGACAAACAGCAATAAAGCTGTTCACCTTTTTTTGGAATCTGAAATCTTCTCAGCCTTTTCCTGTACTTGACTGCTGCACACCCTCTAAAGTCTCTGCAGGGACTCTCTACGGTGCCAGCCAACACAGGTGGGTGAGAGGGTGAGTGTGAGAGAGAGAGAACGCTCACTCTACCAGCCTCAATAGCAGTCCTCGTCCTCACTCTTGTCAAAGTCCGGGACCACTTGGTCTGCAGAATGCCTGGAGCTAGGGTGCTGACTAGAGATGACTGTGGTGCTACAGTGCAGCCAAGGGTGCAGCAGAATATCTGGGGCCTCCAGCCGCTCTGAGGGCAACTTCCTCAGCATGCAGCACACCAGAGATTTGGCCCTGGGGGACAGAGTCTCTGGGATGGTGAAAGCACCCCTGCGGATTTTGCTGAACAGCGCTGCAGGCTCCACATCCTGAAAGGGGTAGCGTCCCACCAGCATGGTGTAAAGAACCACTCCCAGGCTCCAGATATCTGCCGCCTTCCCTGAGTATGAGTGGCGCGAATTCAAAATCTCTGGGCCAACGTAGGCTGGGCAGCCGTGCTTGTCTGTGAGAGAGTCGTCATCTCCATTGAGAAGACAGGAGTCTTCCAGGTTCTGCAAGACCAGCTTTGTTCTGTGGAGACAAAAGAAAGATTCTTAGTTCACTCTTTTTCAGTCTTTTGTATCTTTGTTACAGCTAGTCAGAAGAAACCATCTTCAAGAGGATATCCTTACATTGTTACATACTTGCACAGTTATTACCATGAGTAATAATTGTCTCATAAATGCTTAAATGAATAGCTCAAGCATAAACGCTAACAGTGATTGAAAGCTAGTAGCTGTCAATGAAAGCTATTTCATAGGGCCAACTGCTGGCAATTCATGTTCATTCATTGTTAGCAATGTCAGCAGCAGTGACTGACCCATTTGCTTAAACTGACCTTTGTGCATCGGCAAAGACGAACTTGCGCAGCTTGAGGTCTCTGAGAACGACACCGTTTTCGTGACAGTGTGCAACCGCTGATGCCATCTGCCTGAAGAGACGCACAGCCTCGTCCTCTTGTAACCTCTTACAGGTGCGCACATATGAGTGCATGTCGCCATAGTTGCGCTCGAAGAAGACATACACATTATGCTCCCCCATAATCACCTCAGATATCTTACAGATGTTGTCATGAGGCAGCAGTCGGGTGTACGGAGCAATGAGATCATGGTACTTCCTCATAGAAAACACCTACAAATGGAAACACAAACAAACTTGATTATAGATCTGCAAAAAGAACAAAGGCTATCATTAGGCTATTACTCTTCTTGTGCATGTGAGTCATGTGAAGAACAATAATAACCTGCAGATATGACCTAATCATGGTTGCATGGGGTAGGCCAAAAACAGGCACTACACCTTATCTGAGGAAAGGTACATTGCTAAAGACGCAGTGATTACCTTTTAATATCCAAACATCAGTAGAACGCACAAGTATAGCATTTGCTAGCAAGACCCTCCAGTATCATACTGCAGGACAGTGAGCTTACCTTACAGGTATATTGCTGCTCTGTGACACGGTGGACAGCTCTGTACGTTTGTGTGCCCTCTATGGCCTCCAGCAGAACATAGGGCCCAATGGAGGACACACGGTGGTTTTCTGGGCCCGCATGCTCTGAGCTCTGGGTCAGGGGTCGAAGGCAGGGGGCCAGGCCAGGGGAGGGGGGCTGGCTCAACCTGCGGCGCTTACACTTCAGCGTCTCTGTGCTTTGGGAGTCCTCGCAGTCTACTCGCTTCAGTCGCAGAGGCAGCGTGGGTGTTGTGAGGTTCACGCTCATCTGTTGGGGGAGAGGGAAGGTGAAATCAGGGTTAGGAATGAAGGTCATAACCTTGCAAGAGCATGAGTGAGCATATTTTCTGTCTCCTGCACAGTGGTTCCAGGAGTTGTGCAATATTTGTTCACGCAGTTCTAGTTCGTCTAGCTGGCTTTAGAGCAATGTGCGTGCAAGAACACTGAATCCAGAGCGTATGGGGGGCGACAACAGACTAATGTGGCAATGTGGATCTAGAAGGCAACGCTGATTCACATCCGCTGCTCCATCAAAGGAGCTAAATATGAGCCACCGAAACGCCTGAGTGATGATCACCACTGCTTGATGCAAGCAGACTGTTACTCAAGTTACTGTCCGCCGCTTTCGAAAGCCAGTGAGTGAGTCACTCTCTCTCTCTCTCTCTCTCTCTCTCTCTCTCTCGCGCGCGCGCACACACACACACACACACCGGGTTATTACACATTCAAGCGCGTCACAAAGTGACGTAGTGCAGTCTCGTTTTTCCACTTGCCTATGCCTATTCGCAGATTTTACACATATTACATCCATATAAGTACATATTTCTTTTTCTAAAAAAGCAGCATCAGGTGAAATGTAAGCTTAAAAAAAGAAAAAGAGAACGTGAGAAAACTATCGCTTTGAAAAAGTCGAAACAACACTTATCGCAGTGGTGAGGAGTGGCTGAGGAAAGAGTTGCACCATCACTTTTCCCTCTAAAGTTTAACCCGGACTATTTCACAATTAGGCTATAATTTCTGAGGGAAAACAGCTAATCAGGAATGGACACGTATACAGCAAAGAGACCTGTTAGAAAACTAAAACAGGAGTAACTCTTAATGTGCTGGTGCGTTGGGAGCTAACACGTACAGTTTGACTCACCTCGCTCTCAGACAAAGGAACTCGCTCCTCTCCAAAACAGAACAATGGTAACTCCAGTCAACACGAGTTGAAGGCTGATTTAGCTTTGTGAACACATTCCCAGCTTGAGAGAAGAAACGCGTAAACCTCGAATGAAAAGTATACTTAAAGTACACTGAATATATAGCATGTATGGAAGGAAGTTGGGCAGAAACTCTTCGCCAGGCTGAAGTAGAACTGCCACGAGTCAGTCTGACTCTGACGAGGCGCCCGTTCCTGACAGTAGTCTAATTAGGCTAAATTACAATTCCACTTGCCGAAGTACCAAAACAGCTCGTGTTGGTGAGAAAATGAATGGGCCTCTGGGTTCTCCTTAGTTGCAGTCTTTAGTTTTCTCTTCGTCCGCTGTATGCCAGATAACAGTCCGTCCCTGAAGTCTGAGAGACACCGGCGAGCGCTAATGTTGTCGGCACGAAGCTCTTTGTTCCTTATTCCCGCTGAATGAACGATGTTGCGCACAATTTCTTTCTCAGTTTCCACAGCGTGTGCAGTCCTCGGTGGGGAAAAATGAAGTGAAGCTCTTTCACAAACAAATGAAAGCAATTAAGCTCGAACCGAATATCTTGAATTTGGCTAACGAAAAAAAACAAGTTGTCAAAAAAAAGTTCGCCTAGCAGAAGCGGAGGACTCGTCGGATTACGAGCAATGAGTGAATGCTCGGTCGGTTTTTGTTTGGTCGGTGTGTATTCCCTTCAAACGGGAACAAGGATCCCTTTATAAGCGAGATTACAGATCAGACGTGTGGCCCCTCCGCCTGACCGTCCGACTGTGAGATCTCTATTTAGTCGGAGACCCCTATTATGCTCCTCTAACATTACCACTCGACTGCCTTCGATGATGCTGTCTTTAGCCCGATTGCAACATCTAAGCTCCACCTCCTGCGTCTGACGAAATCGAGACTACAGCGAGGGTTATTATTTTTCCTCCACCTGCATTCCGACAGATCCCGCCTCTCTGCTCTATGATTGGCTAGGAGTTCACACTCGCAAAAATCCGTCGAATCGGCGCAGGAGGAGCGACGCTGCGAGTCAATCCCAGCGCGGCAGCTGGATCTGCCGAAATACGGGTGGGGAAAAAACACGCATCTGTTGAAGTTTTTGCATAGCGAGCAAACAAACAGCGTGCCAGGAAAGGAGCTGTTTGCAAAGATAGCGTTCGTGCTGGACATGTCTGAATGAGCCGTAACAGTGCGCCGAAGAGCTTAAGTCCACTCCGCATTTCACAGGATGAAACTGTGTTTGGAGCTGTTTACTGCATAAAAGCGAGTATTTTATACTACTGCTCCAAACGACCAGTTTTAAACAGCTTACAAGTATTATTTTGAGATAGGTGCGCAGCAAGATGAAAGTAACCTCGTACTTCGTGCGCCTTGCCTACTCCACTCATAACTGAGCAATGCCGCACCCCTTTTATGACTCAACACCAATATTGGTGTTGCACCATTGTTGCACTGTTTATTATGAAGTCGTTCAGGTAGCCTACATGATGTTGCGTATGGTTTCTGAGGAGAGTGATACATATGGATAGGATAAGATGATGTTTATTTAAACAAGAAGTACTTTCACATTTTATCTGCATATCCTATTTTTCCCCAATATGTTAAACTCAGCATAGATATAGAAATTGAGGATTAAAATGTAAAAAAAAATGCCATATTTAAGTTTGTTCCCTGTAGAGGATGTGTTAACTAGTTTTTTCGGTTTGAAAATTAACAAAACATTAATGTTTATGTCTGTCCCTGTGTGTGTATAAATGTATCATTACTATCATGCATGTTTTTTCCATGTTTTCAGTGAAAATATTGACATTACTTGGATGGAAAAGAAAAAACCTACACATGCATGTATATGGATTTGCACTTCTCAGAATATGTACATATATACACTAGTATATTTTAATTTAATTTAATATTTTAACGTTGTCTCATCACTGTTTCAGCATGATGTCACAGACTCTTTGTTGTCCCTCTATAATTTTTTGTTATATGGCCAGATGGCACAGGTTTGATTGGCTTCAATGCGAGGCTCCTCAGCTTGCTGTAAGGCCTGGGTGAGTTAAGCTGCAGGATGCTCTGCTGCTCAGCCCTCATGGTTTCAGGGTGAGTCAGAGGCTGTGTGCGTGAGTGTGTGGGTGACGGAGGCTTCCTGGGCTGTTCCACCATCAGAAGGCCTCTGAGTGGGAGAGCAACCAGCCGATCCTTAAAATGGAAACGTCTCAGCCGAGCAGTACATTTCAGCTTTCAGGGCAACACCTCCGGGTGTCTTCAGATCCATGAATAGCTAGACACATCAGCCCAGACCTTTTTAGCACCTCAGCGGTCAGAGAACGCATTAGGGAGGTTGTTTATTGTTGTGGCATTTTTGCCTGTTATCAGCTGAGTCACAATGCTGGAGGATGACTCTGACGTGGTGTGACTGAAGTTGTTAGTTGAATTCTTTTACAGTATCTCTCTGCCAGTTGGAGCTGAGAAGAAATGGACAGGATGAGCTGCGTTTCCCAGAAATCCTCTGGCTGTTGGTGGCACAGAAATGGTTCTGTGAAAATGTCACACTTCCTGAGTTGAGACATCGTATCACCATGGGAACCGGCCATGTTCTCCACAAAAGGTTTCATACTGATGGAGGCGTGTGAACATATTGGAGTGCTGGGTGGAAGGCAGGAAACACCCTGGACAAGAATAAATCTTACTTGCATTAAACGTATGAACATTTTTGTTTTCTCCTGGAAAATTGCTATTTTATAGATTTATTATTTTGTTAGGGCAGCAACGATACAGTTGTGTGCAAAAGTTTTGGTGCCCTTCAAATTACACGTTCATATCCTCTACAGAGAACACACTTCTGCACATTTTAATGCCCAAATACTGTTCACTTGCGAAACACATGAAAATTTTATATTTTATGCTTTATTTTTTCCCCATTATGTTAAATTCAGCAAAAAAATTGAAATTACTTACTAAAATTAGCAGAGAACTGACACATTTAAATTTGTTCCCTGTAGAAGATGTGTTAACTTATTTGCACTTAGAAAATGAACAAAGCGTGTAATTTGACTGTGGTGTACTGAACTCAATGTGGCTATCAGTTATGAGCTGATGACAAAAATAGACCCTGGTCATAATAGGCAGTGGCAGACAGAGAAGAGGAGATTCTGGGAGCACTGGAGAAAAGAATATCTTTTCAGGAAATTTAAGGCAAAACAATTGGCCTCATATAAAAGGAAATTGTCACAATCTTTAAATAAATTCAGCATTTGTCAACATTATGAAAGCACGCTTTACTTGTTTTTATGTGTAAACAAACACTTTGTCTGGCCAAGACTGAAAGTTGGGGCACCCCTGTTCTATGGCTTTCCTCGAAAGGATGTTTCTTTTTGGCATCTTCATTTCTAAGAGTGTGTATAGTAACTAGCGAGAAAGACCAGGCTTGTTTTCTCGGTCAGACCTGTTTTGATTGTAGACGTGCTGTTCTTTAGCCACGCACAAATACACTCACAGTAGTTAATTAGCCTAGTTTACAGAGCGGGCCTGGCTTATGTGTCTAAGTCTAATTGGATTAGTTATGCAGCTGTGCGATTGAGTGGGCTTTGCTTTAAGGTCACACATGTCTCGTTGGTGACTGCCCACACCACTTCCGGCTGGCACTTGTGTCAGCAACAATACTGCCTGCTCAGATTCTGAGAAAGGGCAGTATGAACTCTGTGCCCCAACATTAGTACTCCCTGCTATTTATTACTTTTGTAACACTTTCTATCAAGCCCTCATTTATAGGTGATTGTAAATGTGCTTATTACTATTTGTAACTTGGTAACAGTGTTTTGTAAACATATAAACTCTAACAATGTTTTAGACATAAACATATTGTAATACAAGTGTCACTATCCATTATAATAATTTTAAACAGAGAGTGACCTGTGCAGAATTATAAAGCACCTATAATACTAATAATTAGAAAAACATTATGAACATTTAAAATGCCATCACTGAGTGCTTCAAGTAAAGTGATTGATAATTTATGCTATCATATAATTAATAAATGATAAGGTTGATTAAATGATAAACTTTACTTGTGTAATGTGAGGTGGAGACATTTAATATCATACCAATCACAAAAGCATAGACACATTATTGCAGTTTACAAACTTTTCTTTCTGAATTTTTTCAAAGTTCTGAAAAAAGACTATAGTAAACACAGCTGTTTGTCCCACATACGACCAGAAAACATAGGTGGCATCTAACTAACGTTGCAGGGCAGGAAGCTTTTCAGGTGATCCTGTAATAATAAAACATATACAGTACATAATAGAGTGCACACTGACACACATTAACAGTACAACATTACTAGAGTTATTATGCTTACAAAGCATTGGTAGCAAGTTACAGAGAGTTATAAGCAGGTTTCCTTTAACATTCTTAGCTGTGGTCCTACAGAACAGGGGAGCCACCTCTGTTTTCTTTTTTTAATGTAGACCAGAGAAGTTTCACTAACCTATCATTGTATCAAATCTAGTTTTGTCCCATACATATCTTTGGTATAAATGCATTATCCTTCCCACTCTGTTGCATGACAAGACAGATGCTTAAAGGGGATTTCCTTTTTTTTCTTTTCAAAATGTCTGCATAGTTCAGGTTCAGATTCAACCAAAGTGGTTTGATGTTAAATTGGAGCATTGTAGAGAAACTTACAGACTCTAATTTCTTTACAGTGGTGGTGATAGGGACCAGGGTGTCTACAATGCAAATTTAGCCATTTTATTTACTCTCCAAAATGACCAGTAAAACTATGTGTGTCTTCTGGGTTTTTATATATACTAATGGTAAAATAGTGGTGTTTTCTTTGTTCACTGTCTTACCTTATAACACCCTGCATGTATCTGTCCCCCATGAGCTTATTTAAGAAAATACATTTAGGCCAAAATCTTATCTTAAAACTGTAGTAAACCAATGTCTCAGACATCAGGCTAGACAGAATATTTCTAAAGATTACATGTAATCATTTTCTGTGCGGTAGCTTAGAGGAATTAAATGTTTTGACGCCTGGTTCCTGTCATCTCCTCTGTGAAGAATTCTTACTTAATAAGTTTCTCTAAAACAGCGTGTTTCACCTCAAACTGCTTTAAATGACTTTGTTTACATCTTAACGATCTAATTATGCAGAAATGTTGAAAAAGTGGTGCACATAACGTTTATGAGAATGATCTTTTACTTGCTTCTTGTGATTGATTGCTTTAATTCTTGGCCATTTTGAGTTTAATCAGCCAGTCCGCTCTCTGCAAGCAGTGACAAACTGCTTGCGGACAGCAGTAAGATTCGGAAGCAGATTAAAGAAATACTGCAGCATTTTTCACCCTGATCTCAATCAGTCTTGTCTGTTGCATACGACTGATTACCACTGACAATATTTTTTCTGTATTTAGTAAAAGAACAGAAAACTCTTTGACTCAAAACCCAGCTGTAATAAATGCCAATGGGCAAATGCTGAAGCACCTTCCCTATGTGCTCTATTACAGTTATGTTAGGAGTTAACAGGTTTGCTGTTGTTTTCAAAGTTGGAGATGCAGACTTTATTGTGAGTGGTGGCAGTAAGCTACAGATGCAACAGAGACAGAGAAACACATTAATGCATGGTATTTAACTGTATTGTCTTGATAGCAAAAGGAAATGGACAAAGCACCGCAAAATATAACTAAATTTTTCAAATCTAAAATACATTCTGCAGCCCCTGTACATTCTACTGCTGTTCACCTGAAGCAAAGCAATGGTAGTGCAGGTGCAAACCGAAACTGACAGACCATTTTCACCTCATGAAACTTCTATGTTGCTGTGATTACTATCAGTCCTGAGGGGAATGGGTGGGGTGCG